AATAAAGGCACAAATTAATACGTTCATTCGTACTGAAAATGGAATACTCACTTTGCTTTCTGCATCGGCTTCCACACTTGTCGACACTGTAGATTTCTGCGTTGTTCGATCTTTTAATCAACGAAGAAATAAGTTGATTTAGGAATTATAATGTCACTTCCACCACTATAGTCAACATGCTTTTTAATGGCGTTTGATATTTGTCTGTTTCAATCATCTTATTTAAAATTTTATTACAGTGTTGAAAAAAATATATACAGAATGAATATTGTCTTATTAATACAATATCACTGGTCATAATTCGAATATGAATCATACAACAGTACGTAATTTTTGACATAATCTTTGACATAATAAAACATGACATTTCATCATTAAACTATTTTAAACACGATCAGCTTTTTTCATCAAATCATCTGCTGCTATCTCAAATTATGTCACACTATCTATTAATTTTTTTCTGGCAAAGTGGCAAAATATATTCGAATATTTGTTTTCTCTGTACAGAACTCAAAGTAGACTATTCTTCATTTAATACTGCTACAAATGCTGCCCTTTGCAACATTTTGACTATTGAATAACGTGTCTAATGAGCCTCCACGAGCATGGCGCAATGGTAAAGTAAGAAAGTTCTCTACGGAGTATCGGATGTTCAAATTCTCGCAGCAGTTGGAAGGCAACATTTTATGTTGGAAGGCAGATGTTCTGTGACGGCAAAGTTATGGTGCGCTTTGTCGTCCCTCCGAGGTACTGTCCGCACGTCGTAAAGGGAGGTTTATAGGAAGGAGAACCGTTTCACGAAAATCCAGCCAAAGTGTGTATAAATTGTGATCGTATCTAGATTTACCCGGATGGCGAATCAGGGAGAAAGGCCGCAACTCCTCATGATTAGTCGGGTGAAACTTGGATACTTGAGTCATCAAAATGAAAGAAAAAATAACGGGCCTAATGAACACATATTTTGGTTCGAAGTACAGATCACAAGGATTGAACAGAAAAAAGGGCGGTGTAGATAAAGTAAGAGAAGTTGGATTTGGCAGATTGGCATCTACTGGGAACTATAAAATTAAAACCACACATCGTAAGACATCCAGAATTATTTGTATGAAAGAAAAAAAATCTGTGTAAAAACATATTCAATGGCTGCTTCAATCATTTTGTTCATTGTTGCAACCATAATTCTGAGTTTTAACCCATTTTCTACTGCCACAGAACGTATTTATGATCTCTCTCTCTCTCTCTCTCATTTTGTTCGTGTCCCTTTTTTCTTTTCCGATTTCTATGTTGTATGATTTTTTTGGTGACATGCAGAAGTTGGAGGGATTCAATTCACATACCGGGGAGCCAGAGGTCCATACAGCTGGGGAAACTTGAGCCCAAAATTCGACAAGTGCGAAAATGGGAAATCGCAGTCGCCAATCGACATAGTGAAACACAAGGCTGTGATTAACAAGAAGCTGAAGCCATTGATTAGGAAATATCATTCTGCCATTAATGTTACTCTAGTCAACTATGGCTTCACTGTTGGGGTTAGTTCATTCCTGCATGCTCTTAATTCTCTTATGAAGGATCCAATAATTTGTTTTACAAAAATATGTTCTTTCTTTCAACTTCATAATCTGAAATTTTCAATTTGTTTAAAGATGAATTTTTTGTCTTATGTTCATTTTCAACTTTTATGCATGAAAAATATATTTTCGTAATTGTGACAAAAGGAGGAATTAATCGTTAGAG